GTTAATTGGTTTTTGTTTAATCTTTTCTGTGAGTTGCATGTTGTTATAGGGAAGATGATGACATGCTGAGAAATTCTAGCTCCCTTTGTTTTTAATTTATCTCTCTGATATGTTCTTTTCTCGTAATGAAAGAAAATTTGAATGTTAGCATCTTGAGTCAGCATATATGCCCAGGGGCTCTGATAACATGTCCTTTTGAGGAGAGACATACATTTCTGACCTCCCACCTGGTCCCAAAAAGGAATTTATTAGATTGTCGCCTTTCAGTTCATTGCTCTTGAACCTTTACATGTGGCCTAGATCCCACCAATACTCCTAGTTTTCCTGGTTTTGTAAAGTAGATTATGAGTCTTCTGTCTCCATAATCACAGAAGCTCAATCTCCCCTCCCCACCCTTCTCTTTCTCTCTTTACTAGGTTTGAACTCAGTGTCTCAGGCTTCCTAGGTAGGTATTCTACCATTTGAGCCACACTCTCAACCCTTGGGCTTTAGATATTATCTAGGACTGGATTGAGACTACCTACTTATTTACTACTCTTGTATAGCTGGGTTAAAATGTATATGTCATCATACCTGGCTTGTTTAAGATGGCAAGGAAAAATCTTGCCTTAACTTGTATTGATTTGTGATCACCTTAGTGACATTTCCCAAGCTATTGGGATCATAGATAATAGGAATGAGCCACCTTGCTGGCCCAGATTTAAAATATATTTTTAAATCAGATATTTTATAAATGAGTAAAATTTACTTTATTTTAAAATGAAAATACATTTAGTTTACTTAAATATAAAACAGTACCAATTATATATGAAATACTATTTTAAAACGATTTTATATATTAACTAATGTTTAATAGGTTTATGTTTAATGGTGAAATAGTCACTGGATCTTCTGATGTCCATACTATTCTCTACAGATTCCAGGTGATTAAAAGAGGTAGAGTTTAAACATATGTCATTAATATCCAAAAGCAAATGAATGGTAAAGAAAGATCTGTTTTATAAAAGAAAACTAGCTAATGACGAAGGAATCATCAAACAATTCATAAATTAAGGTTAGGCTTTGAATCCAGATCACACTTCTGGGATCCCTAAAAGTACAAACTTTTACAAGTTAGATTTAAATCGACATTATTGCTCCTTTATATTGTATGTGTTTAATATTTGAGTTGTCACTTTCTAGTTCCATAATGATATTAATGAAAGGGCCATAAAACAGCTTATTAAAGATTCTGGTTGTATATGATAATTCAGCTGAAATTGTGTGTTTACATGAAGGCTTACTTGTAAGAAAAAAAATAGTGTTAAAACTTTTATTAATTTCCTACTTAAAAAGCTCTATTGCTGTCATTATTCCTTTAATAATGTGAAAGCTATATTTCAATTTTGTAGAACTAAACATTATATATTTTAATGATTGCTATTTTTGCAGAGCACATGGGCAGCAAAGATGGTGCTGAGAGGGAGTTGAGTGGGCAGAGCCCAATTTGCTTTATTTTCAGTAAGTAACCAGCCTGTGGAAGCTTAGTGCATGATAGAGTGTGACCTTGACAGTGATTGGTTCCTCTTCTTCCCCTGCCATGACACCGGCTCTTTTTGCTTTAAAAATGACTTGCTCTGTGTTAATAAACAAGTTTTCCTGCTTTATCTCCCGGGCTAAGGGAGGCTGGGGAACAGTCGAGCAGCCTCATTTACCTTTCCTCTGACCCCGTCCTCTTTCGTGGGAGAGGCGAAGACCTGACATATTTCTATTCTGGTCTTCATGATATTCACCAAAACTCAGGAGACTAGTACTATCTTCTGTTAACATTGTGCCCTAGTTACCACACCCTTGTAATTCCATCTAAGGAACCAATAAAACTGTGGCTTCCCTGCTCCTCAGCACTATATTGGTGGCAGATGGCTATGAGTGATACAAAAATATAAATGAATCTGAAATGGAGGATGAGACTAGGACATTGTCATTATAATTAAACTTTACCACAAGCCTATATGACCCACACAGTTCATAAAATATCACAAGAACCACACCTACCTATTAAAATGCTTTATGCCAGACTAAAGTATATCAAGCAATAGTCCCCTACAACAGTATATCTGTAATTTAACCACTCAGCAAGGTAAACTATACCCCAGAGGTTAAATGTGATTAGGTAAATATTTCTCATGCCTAAGGCAGAGGTTCTGTGTCATAGGCTGGTCTTGAGAAGACTTTTAATGTTGTTCTCAGCCTATCATTGCCACTGTTTTCCTTTTTGCCTAATCCTGTTTCAGCAAACACAAAAACTGAGGTAGGTAACTGCACTGAATTCTAGTAAATATTACTGCTTGAACTTGAGTTGTGTGACTTCACAGAAATGGATGAACAGAATAGATAACTGTATTCATATGTGTAGGGATCATTGTCGTAAAGAAAATAAGGATGTTTTCTAACCACTCTCACAACTTGAAATCATTTCACTGAGGATATAACAAATTCTCCAAATGCATATAAAGACTAGAGGTGTTTACTTTGCAGCACATATAGTAAAATTGGAACATACAGAGATTAGCATGGCACCTGCATAAAGATGACACACAAATTTGTGAAATGTTCCATATCCAAAAAAGAAAGAAAGAGCATGGAATCATGAGAAAACATGTTAAACCCAAAAAGGTCCAAAACAATTTCCCCTGAGACAAACTGCTATGAATTATCATTACATTAACATTCTGTGAATTTATAAAAGGTCTTAGTAAGGTGTATGAGTCAAATGCTTTTATAATGATCCTATTTTAAAAGAGGAAGATGATATACGAATGGAGACCATTTCATATTCCAGTTCAATTGAATTGTTCTAAACATAAAAATCAAAATGCTTACAAAATACCGATAGAAGGGAAAAAATACATAGCTGTGTAATTAGTTTTCATCATATAAAGCCTGAATTAATTATAAATCTTAGTCATCCATGATACTTGTTTGCAGTTATACCCTTCTCAATATATGAGAAGGATATACATTGTGTGTATGTATCATTCAAGTATGAGTGATATGCTGCTGCTTAAATTCATAACTTCTAATATCTTTAAACATAGTTCACTTAATTTTAGATTTTATTTTTCCTAATTCTAGGGCTTCAACTCAGTTTCTTACACCTTTTTTGGCTTGCTTATGATAGCTGGCACTCTAGCATTCCAGCCACACATGGCCAGCTCAGCTTTCTGCTGGTTAATAGTTTGAGTAATGAACTTTTCTCCCTGAGCTAGCTTTGAACTGAGATCCCAAATGTCTCAGCCTCCTGAGTATCTAGGAATGTAGTAATTGTTAGGCTTTTAAAGAAGAGGTGGCCGAGTAAGAACCACACCACACATGTGGTATTCAGGTAAGGGGTAGGTTTATTTAGTAGACTGGATGGCACTCCATGCAGCTGTCAAAGAGGGCATCTGGCCCTGGGCTAGGCCTTATCTAGGGTGGGGGCCAGGAATGGTGTGACCAGGTAAAGGGAGGTGGGACCAGGTAAGAAGAAGTGGAACTAGGTGGGTGAAAGGTGTGGCCACATCAGATCCAGATGTGACCTAAGCAGATGTGAATGTGACCTCTTCCTGGTGAGCCAGTTGGGGTGGGGTCTGCTCGCCATCCAGGAGTAGACCTTACAGTAATAATACACAGTCATTTTGCCTCATATCATTATGTATACTGAATGTTTGTTAAGTTTAACAATGGTAAGGATACATGCTCTCTGTCTTTAATGTCCTAAAATTTTGCAGGTGATGGGGTGAAGGGTATCAAGGAAAATAGTAAAGGAATTCTTAAAGTATCTGACATGGGAGAAGATAAATTACATAAAAATTGAAACTGAGAAATTGAGTGCATCTGGCAAGTGAACTAGATTCATTCAGACTGTCAGCACAGAAAATTTTACAGGAGGAATTTTGGAAGAAATAATATTAAGAGAGAATGAAAGTCAAGTAGTAAAGACAAAGGCTAGTCAAGGCATACTGTCAGTCACAGAGGGGATTGTTTATAGTCAAGTCTAGAAGAACATAACATAACATGAATTTAAAATAAGTCTTGAGGTTTGAAACAGATAAAGAAATGCCAATGATATAGAATGTCCTTTTACCAAGAGAAGGAAAAAAAATTCCTTTGGCAAGAAAGATTGTATCATCTGAATATGCATAAAGTTTGAAATGATAATGAAAGGAAACTTGTTTGCCATAGAATGAGCCTTCTATAAGCTTTTGCTTTTACAAGGGGAAGAGGTTTGACAGGATGAACTGATATAGTGCTGTTAGTACTGAAGATAAAAAGTGAGATTTGAAGTAAGAACATTTGCAAGGATTGAGTAAAGTTAATAATGTCACATAATCCAGGGGAATATTACTACTGAACCAAATGTGCAATATGTAGAATCGGCACAATTTCCAATGAAAGGGAAGAAGCAAACCTAGCCTGGCACTGGTGTCTCATGCCTGTAATCCTAGCTACTCAGGAGTTGAGATCTGAGGATTGAGGTTTAAAGGTTTAAAGACCAGGTAGGGAAGTCTGTGAGACTCTTATGTCCAATAAACTATTCAGGAAAAGCCTGAAATGATGCTGTGACTTAAATGGTAGAGCACTAGCCTTGAGCACAAAGAGGCTCAAGGATAGCACCAGGCCAAGAATTCAGGACCAGAAAAAAAATTAAAAATTAAAAATTCAGAAGAGCTCAAACTGATGGTCCATCTTTCCTCATGGACCTCACTCTCCCTTCTGAATATGCCAACCATTGATTAGGAAACAAGGTAACTGTCTTTTATGTTATCTCTAAATTTACTGGGCAACTTCAGATGCTAGATTCTAAATTCAAAGATTGTACAGCTAACTGTATATCTACCTACCTATCTACCTATGCACCTACCTACCTATTATCTAACTGCCTATTATTCATCTTAATTTAAAGAAGTTATATTACAGTTCCCACTAAATGATTAACATGAACAGATTTCTTGGATGATTCTATGTCACAGGAAACTTACCCTGGGGCTGACGACTGGGGTGGTATATTTGAAGGTCAAATGGCTGTGCACTGGTCTTCTGAATGACACTGACATTCTGCCCTGTCCATTTGTTGGCTTTGGACAATGTGTTTGTTCTCCAATCTGTCCAGTAGACCTCGCTCCCATACAGCGACACAGCAAAAGGATGAGAAAGGTACTCATGCCCTCGGATAATTTCTATCATATTTGTTCCATCATAAAGGGCCGAATAGATAGCATCTGACCTAGAACAAGGGAAGATGTGTCAGTATTTCTCTAAAACTCAAGTAAATATTCCAGTTATATAACCATATAACTGAGAAAAAATGGCCAATATTTTGTATCTATTTTATTGCTCATATTGATTTAAAATTAAACAAACAAAAAACACCCACTACTTTCAGTACATGGTATCTTATAGTAGGACCTGTTTCAACATTGTTGATGTTGTCTGAAGAAAGTAAAAGAAAATATAGGAAGAAAAGATCATTCTTTAACCTGGCATCAGTCCAAACTATCCTTTTCTCAAAGTGATCCACAGTGAGTCCATTAGGCCAGGCCCCAGTTTTCATGTCTTTGTAGATGGTTTTTCTTCCAGCACCACTCATAGAGGCAGATTCAATTCGAGGAAAATTAGCATCCCAGTCTGTCCAAAACAGAATTCTGAGAAAGAAGAAATAAGGGTATTGTTTCAGCCATGCCTTCCATACATACCTACAACATGCCAATTACATGCTTGACATTTGCTAGCTGAAAACAGTAGGAGGACAAGGAAATAAGATGAGAATGAAATGTCTTGTCCAAGTTAAAATATTGTGCATTCAACAAACAATAACAATAATTCTGGACATTTCAAATTCTGTTCATTGATCTCTTTTATGTCAATCAAACTTGGAACCAGCATCAAATTCTATCACTAACTCCAGCATACTTTTCAATTCAGATTCCAATTTTGAATGTAAAAATGAAAACAATAGTTTGAAAGCTGTAATAGTTATTGGTAACTTCAGGAGAGAAAATGGACATAAATAATTTATTGCCTAAGATGACGGGCACAGAGTTAAGAAACATAACTATTAAAGATGTAGAGTAGCTGGTCAAAATATTATTAGAAGTTAATTTATATTTTAGCAGCCAATTCCTAATTTACTTGCTGTAGTTGTATTGTTAAATAAAAATGAAATTTCCTGACATTCCTTACACGTTTCTGCTATTCATAATGTGTAATTATGCAAAGAAAAAAAACTATTAAAGAGAGAGAAAGCTGTGGTGGTGAGTTGAGAGAGAGACAGAGACAGTGAAATAGGCAGGGATCAATATCAAGAAGAACATTCAGAATGTTCCAATGCTATAAAAGCATGCATAAAAGTAGGTTACTTTTATGATGTAAAATGGTCAAACCAATGGAACATGATTCATGATAGGTGATCATAAGACTGAGCTCATCCAGCAGAAGGCTTCTCAAATAACATATTTAAGGAAGAATTAGAGTTTCATGGGCCACTTCAAAAGTTTCCACCACATTTGTAGTGGAAAGATAGCCACATAAATATTATACATAGTATTTATTATTTGGCTATGAAATTTGAAAAAAAAATCAAACAGTCCAAAAGAAAAAAAATCAATAATCACACCTCATAGGATGATGACTTAATGATTTAATAATTGTTGAAACTGAGCATCAAGAATTTATTGTGCCTTTTTTTCCTGCCCATCTTAGAACTAGAACTCAGAGCCTGGGTACTGTCCTTGTTTCTTTGTATCGAAGGCTATCAGTTTGCCACTTGAGCCAATATGCCATCTCAAGCTTTTTCTGAGTAGTTTATTAGAGATAAGAATCTCACAGACTCTTCTGCCCCAGCTGGCTTTGAACCTGGAGCCTCAGATCTTAGCTTCCTGAGTAGCTAGGATTACAGGCATGATTCCCTGTGCCTGGATTTGTGCAATCATTTTGAATTTGTGTATTTCATAATTTTCCAAATGAAAGTTTAAAAGCAAATATTTCCAAATCAAATTAATAAATCCATTTGAAAAATATATGAGAGGATGTTTATAAGTTTTTATTTTTTTCTGAAAAGACTAATGTTTAAATGTGATTGATTTCTGGTGGCGAAGGAAATGCAAATAAAGACAACCCTGAGATACCACCTTACCCCAATCAGAATGTCCCACATCCACAAATCAGCCAACGACAAATGCTGGAGGGGATGTGGAGAAAGAGGAACCCTATTACACTGCTGGTGGGAATGTACACTTATACAACCACTTTGGAAAGCAGTCTGGAGGGTCCTTAGAAAGCTAAAGATTGAACCCAGTCATACCACTTCTAGGCATCTACCCTGAACAACAGGAACCAATATACAAGGACACATGCACCTCCATGTTTATTGCAGCACTGTTCACAATAGCTAGGATATAGAAACAACACAGATGCCTCACCACAGATGAATGGATCCAAAAATTGTGGTATCTATACACAATGGAATATTATGCAGCCATTAGAAATGACAAAATAATGGCATTTGCAGGGAAATGGATGGAGCTAGAAGGAATCATGTTGAGCGAGGTAAGCCAAGAGCGAAGAGACAAACGGTACATGGTCTCCCTGATAAGTGGATGATAAATCCAAAATGTTAGGTGATACGACAAAACTAACAGGACTTAAGAAACAAAGAACTCCTGCTCATCTGGTTGAACCACTACTAAATATCCCCATGCTGCTGCTGACATATATGGTATAGAACATGTGAACACCATTATATGTTACAGACTGTGATAGACAATTTGCTCCAGGAAAGTTAGAATGAACTTGTGACTTTAAATGAGCATCATTATTCCACAATACTGTGAAATTTGGAAAATTATGTAATCACTTAATCACAATAAAAAAAAAAGAACCTTGGGGAAGGGAGGGAGGGAGGGGATGGTAGGGGGGAAACAATGGAGGGGGTAACAATGTTCAAGAGGAAGTGTACTCATTACCTCACTCATGTAACTGTAACCCTCTGTATAGTATCTTTACAATAAAAAAAATATGAGTGGTTTAGATGACATAATACTATTTGGAAATGTTAACAATAATTTATATTGAAAAAAAACTTTCTCCAGTAATGCAATTTATTTTCATTTAAATACAAAAATAACATTATAAAATAAATACACGATTGGAAATAGGATAGTAGCCTCTTCAGTAAAATAGTAAAATCTCTTTCTTGGAAACAGTCAAATTTATGGTGACACTTTGATAAACAAAGTTACAAAGAGAGATCTAAAAAGCTTAAAAATAAAAAAGATAACATCTGAAAATCAAGAGTGAAGATGGGAGTCATAGGGTATCTATATTTGTGGTGATGTCAAGTTTAAACCAAGCTGTCATTCTCATGCTACACTGACACCATGAAGATTTATGGCGTATCATCTACCTGGATGACAAGTGGGAACTGGTGTCTCACTTTTTCTACCCAGACAACCTTAGGCAGAGGCAGCAAGTACAACTCAAAGGTGAGTAGAATTGCTGCTCTATATTTTCTATATTGAACTTAATTACAAGTAAGTATATGGAATGTAAATTGGGATTCTAGTGAGAAGAAAATACAACTTGGGATAGTGTATAACATTCTAAGTTAAGTAATCCTTTTTTTTTCTAAATCTCCCAGTTTGACCTACCAGTGTGACTATGTGTCTGCTATAGAAGTAATTAGGGTACTAATCTTTCATCAACTTTAGTTGAAAACTTGTAATGTTGGCCTAAAACTGTTCTTAACCTTGTCACAAATCAGTTCACACAACCAATTTTAAAAGTTGATTTCATGGATCATTGTTTCATAAGATTCTAGGCACTCATTTGTACACTGTACAATGTGGTGTTTTAGAAAAATCATTCTTCCCTCTTTTTTTTCTTTTTAAATAGAATGTATTAGCATTTTAATGGTTATGTTATTTCCTCAGGTATAAAAAGACTAAATATCTCTTTGTACAGGACACCTGGAAATGTTCAACCACAATTGCTTTTCAAAAAGCAATGACAGTCTACAGATTCTGCAGTTTTTGCATTGATGGTCTGGTCTATACCTGGATTAAATTGGTTCAACAGACCATGAACTACTTGTACCATTAAAGGCATGGAGGGGCCATTATTATTTATGAGGTCAAGCTGAGGAAGTTGCACAGAAATTATCTTTGTTTAAAAAGTTACATATCTATAATCTCTATGTCTTCTAAAACCAACAATGGATAAATTCATTTCATTTAGCATATCCTAAGGCAAAATTAAAAATTAATTTAGCTTTCTTGCTAATCTTCATAATTGCTCTTTCTGCTCTTACCAAAGCAATTTTGATTTTAGAGTACAGGTACAAGGCCTAGATACTGGCACTAGAGTCAGAACATGCTGTACAGTGTGAAGGAATGAATGTAATGAACATTCAAGACATGATGTGAATAGATGTAGATTCTGAACCCTCATGGGCTTGTGATTCTCTAACAATAGCTTGATGTTTAAAAAAGATTTGCATAATCTTTTAGGTCATCTCAGCAATATAAATGTATTGCTTTAAAATGGAATGAGATAAAAGTGGTTCCTCCCTAAAAGTTCAATTTGCCTCCTTGAAATAACTTGTCCACTAGGATTGGGTAGAAATCCAGAACACTAACTGTGGACTGGGGTTCATGCTTGTAATTCTAGCTACTCAGGTGATTGAGATCTGAAGATCATGGTTCAAAGCCAGCCTGGGCAGGAAAGTCCATGAGACTCTCATCTCCAATTAATTACAGAAAGAGCCAGAAGTGGTGGCTCAAGTGATAAAATGCCAGCCTTGAGTAAAAGGAGGCCCCAGGATAGTGCCCAGATCCAGAGTTGGAGCCCCATGACAGGCAAAACAAAAACAAAACAACTAAAGAAAAAAGAAAAGAAAAGAAATCCAGAATGCTAACATGATGGCAGGAATATTTTATAATATACTATTAGAGGCCAATGGATATTAAAATGGAGAAGCAAAATAGTCAACTAAAAACACTCTTCTTATTTGATATCTGTAAAAAGGTAATAAAAAATGACCTTGATGGCTATAGGAACCTCACATGAAGTAAACATGTTGTATGGGGCTATTGTTATGGTTTATATTTCGACTTTGCATTGCTGACAGCATGAAGTGGCTAAAGACAAATCTTTCATTTGTTACTGTAGACAAAGTTTATAGTATTACTAAGTAGCTGTCTTTTATACTATCTAATATCCATGTTGCAAGTAAACAAAGTCTACTCATATATACTCATGCATTTATTTAGCAATCATTGATTGAACACCATTATATACTCCAAGACCTGTGATGTATTTCAGACATGTTAGCATTGTCTCTTGCTCTGGAGAAGCATATGTTTTAATAGGAAAAAATGATAGTATTTGAATAAATCATACTTTTCAATAACTGTCCAGAAGATTTCTCCTAAAACTTCTGATATATGTAGTAATGTCCTCTGAGTTGCTGTCAATGTTGTTTCACAGCTTCCTTACAGCTTTCCTCAATAATTTGACAAGAAAAAAATGTGTCTGTATTTTACATATCATTAAGGCAATTAACCGAGTTTAAACAGTATTTCTTTTCTTTTATTTTTAATTGTGCTTTTCTGGTACCTTTCCTAGGTTTTTTTTTGTTTTGTTTTGTTTTCAGGTCCGGTCGTGGGGCCTGAACTCTGGCCTGGGCGCTGTCCCTCAGCTCTTCAGCTCAAGGCTAGCACCCTACCACTTGAGCCACTTCTGGCTTTTTATTTCCTGCTTATGTGGTGCTGAGGAATCCAACTCAGGGCCTCATGCATGTATGGCAAGCGCTCTACCACTGAGCCACCTTCCCAGCCCTATCTTTCCTAGTTTTGTGGTATAAATGAGTATTTTGCCTCTTCTCCTCTTTCCATGTGTAAAATAATCTCAGAACATTTTACCAAAATATTTTATAATAATATTTACATGCTTTTAAAAAACAATTGTTACAACTCTAAAGTGTTTACAGGAAAAGTTTTACTCATGACAATATTCTATTAAATAATTTTATTAATAAAAATGTAATCAAATCAACACAGCGAAATATGCCTGTCAACTTTCCAATTGAATTTTTTTTTTCAGTTGTGGGGCCTGAACTCTGGGTCTAGTCACTGTCCCTTAGCTCTTCAGTTCAAGGATAGTCCCTACCACTTGAGCCACAGTGCCACTTCCAGCTTTTTCTGCTTATTTGGTGTTGAGGAATTAAACCCAGGGCCTCATGCATGCAAGGCAAGCACTCTACCATTGAGCCACCTTCCCAGGCCCTCCAATTAATTCTTAAGCTTATTTATTTCAGAGACAATTTGAGAAATATTATTGTCTATCCTTTAAGTTAATTACATTATTTTACTTTATTCTTACTTTAATTATGCTAATTAGGCTCATAATTTCAGAGTAACAACTGGTGAGTGAAGGCATCTTCTCTTTGAAAAGCACTGTTAAATTTATTCTTAAACACTACTGTCTTTCTGTATTAACAAGTAGACTGAGAGGGTCTTTCGCTCTGGACATGCCCTAGGTTATCAAAATAGCATTTGCTATTACACTTAATGAGCTTTTGTGTTCTTTTTTTTTACGATTCATTTTTTTTTTTCCTTTGGTCGGTTGTGGGGCTTGAACTCTGGGCCTGAGCGGGGTCCCTCCACTATTCAGCTCAAGGCTAGTGCTCTACCACTTGAGCTAGAGCTCTACTTCCAGCTTTCTGGTGGTTTATTGGAGATGAGACTTTCACGGACTTTCCTGCCCTGGCTGGCTTTGAACCGTGATCCTCAGATCTCAGCCTCCTGAGTAGGTAGGATTACAGGTGGGATCCACCAGCAACCAGCTGGTTTTTTCTATTCTTTCTTTTTTTTTTCCATTTGGTTTTTCTTTTTCCTTTGAGGTTATACATTTTCTAAAAAAGATGAATTTATCCTGAGCACTTTTAGTGAGTACAATGCTATAAAAAATGATTTATCCTGCAAAGCTACTGCTTTGTCTGATCACTGTTTTCAAATAAAATTTTATTTTTATTATGTCTGTTAGTGGCATTTATAATTTGGAAAGCATTCTCAATATCCCTCTCATGTTTCAACACATACTAGAATTGCATCTTTAGCCCAAATGTCACTGTTTTTCTTGACTAGAGCACTCTTATGTTAATAAGATTTTCATAGGAATAAGATAACAGTCAAATTGGTGGCTTTATGGAAAACCAAACCATGGAGAGATAAAAGGTTACTACATTTGTGGGTGAATAAGGAGAAGGGGCAGGATTTAAAAATAAAAAATCTTTTTGGATCAAAAACTTGACAATAAACTGGATTTCTTACTGAATTTGGAAGATTTTTTTTCAGATTAATTGTTGTTACAGGCAGTTTAAAATGTGTAAAGCAGATAGATACTTCACTCATCCTTGTTTGGGGCTTGGCCAGGAAGTTAATTCAATAGATTTCTCTCTTCTGTATTTCATTAAACACCCTGATAGCTTTTTCTGATTACTGATTTGTGCTTCCTGGACTTTGAATTATTCAAAGTTATAGAGTTAAAAACAAAACGAAACAAAACAAGAAACTAGAAAATGTCCTTTCTAAAAACTATTTAGACATACAGTACTATTAGACTTACAAAAATAATTATCAAAGAAATAATAATTCATAGTAATTGTAGCATGCTTTTTAGTATACTCCTGTATCTGTTACATATTATCTCCCTTCAGTGTGCTTATAATTTTTTTTCTTTATGAACTTTTGAAGAAGATACTATAATCTTTGTTTACAGAAGAGAAAAAAACTTCACAGCTAAGAAAAGATAATACCCTTGATTTGCCCAGAGAACAAATGCCTGGGCAGGATTAGAACTCATGTTCTCTTGGTTCTAAATCTGGTGATTCTTATCTGATTTTTTTTTTCAAACAAGAACACATAAAGTGGCAACAGAGGCAGTGACCTCAGTCACTCAACATTTAGTCTTGCTTTCCAGAATCAGGTCTTTTGTATTTTAAACTTCCCACAGTCAGTATCTCATTGCTGGACTTCTTCAACATTATTCTGATTTTCTTTCAAGACTATAAGAACATACAAAGTAAATGGAGGGTGACTATTTAGAACAAAGACTAGTCCTGTGGTTTACAACTACAGAAACCATTATAGGATCACTTTTCAGTGGAAAACAAGATAAAAGAATCCAAATAGGTTCAATTAGAGCCTCATGTTATTTGGAAGAATAATATTTTTTAACTAAACTTGTGGTAATGAATTTAAGCTATTTTGCTGCACTGTCTATACAACTAGATGCATATACACAGTCATGCATACATGTGCATGTCTATGCACAAAAATAAGCAATTTGAATCCTAGTTTATAAGTCAAATTAATGCAAATTAATTCATTACCCATATCTTGGGTCCAGTGCAATGGCCCGGGGGTGTTCCATGGCTCCTGCTATTAGTGTAGTTCTTAGAGAACCATCTAATTTGGCCACTTCAATTTGGTCCAGATTGCTGTCTATCCAGTATATGTTGCCTGCTATCCAGTCGACGGTCAGTCCTTCTGGAGTTGCCAGGCCATGTTCTACAACCACTTCTATTGCACTGACACCTGTGAAAGATGAAACCAAAGCACATCAACGTTATTTCAAAGTATTGAGAAGTACAGTTCAAAAGTTTTACCTGACATAGAGGAAGCTGATCCTCAAATTTAGAATTACTATTTCTCATCTGAAAACGTTAGTCTGTTCAGTTCCTTCCATACCAGCAGGATGGATCTTTGAAGCAATGAATGTAAGTTTGTTTCTGACTTTTGAGGCAGAAAAAGAGATTTTTGCAAACATGAAAATATGTTAGATAGCTGCGAGTAGTAGCACATGACTTCAATACTAGAACTTGAAAAGCAGAGCATGTTCAAACAAATCTGGGCTAAATATCAAGACTGTCTCAGAAACAAAAATGAAAGCAGTAACAACAATAAAAGTATGGTGGTTAGATTCACTAATTTAATTAAGATGATTTTTTAATGATAGACGAACTTGAATTATGACATTTAAGCACTCTCTCTCCCTCTCTCTATTTTGAAGCCTGATGTATAATACAGATATTAATATAGATATAATACAGATATTAATAAATATTTCTCACTCCCAACCCTGGGCCATAAAAGCTCCAGCATTTATCATGATGGTCTGAATAGAATCTAGATATTTGGTAATGTCAACCAGCATTCTTATTTATGCACACTTCATTTTTTTTCACAAGTAAAAAAGCAAATTCATTATGTATGTATGCATTTCATTAATTTACTTACTTATTTAGAGACAAGGCCTAACTGTAGGCTTTTACCCCAATATACATGGTTCTTTATATGAGAAAGGACTTAAAGAATTAAAAGCAAACAATCAGAATTCATTCTGATAACACTTTTGTAAATTTTTCCCCTTCAAAAGTAACTTAAACAGGAAATGAAGTAACATAATTTGTACCTCCAGTCTCAGAAAGCTTGCCCCGATATATCCTGTCTTCTACAACATCTGTCCAATAAAGTAAACTTTGGTTGAAGTGAAAATCCAAGGCTATGGTGTTTCTCAATCCAGGCACAAGTAGACTGTAGTCTCCTTTATGCAGATCAATTCTTCGAATCTCATGGCGAATGGAAAAGATGATGAATGCTTCAAAGGGATCTGAAAATTAATATTTTAATATGCATAAGAAAACATATATCCCCAGTTAGTGAGCTAAAACAGTTGAGGTTAAAGTCTACTTATTCAAAATCCAATTTATTACATACTTCCTTGCAGAAGTGATTTGCAACATTGAAAAATAATTTGAAAAACTTTGGTTGTATATAGCTAGTAAAACAATGTATTTATGTGTTTTTATTTCTCAAATTTGTATGCAAATGCTTTTGATGAAAGAAGTTAGGAATGTTGTTGTCCAGGACTTTAAAAGACAGGTTTAACCTGGCAATTAGAGATAAAGTGACACAATTTGAAATCAAAAGGCCATAATTGGTAATACCATCTAAGCCAACTACTGCCCAGATATGCAAGTGTCAACAAGTTTTCTTTCAAAAGAGTGTTCTGAGACTTAACAAGTTTTTTTTTTTTTTTTTTCCCAGTGAATCATCTTTTGGCCTCTGGATATACTAAGTGAGATCCTAATTTTCATGTGTGTTGCATTACAATCACTTCAATCACAATTGTTTTATTCATAACTAAAGATTTTTATTTTTGGAGGTTTGACTGGACCTCTTATTTAACTGTTATTATAATGTTCCAAAACATTAAACAAAATAACTAGTTTCTTATAGGTCTCAAAGTACAAATATTTTAAAAGAGTTTAAAATAGAAGTTAGCAGTTTTAAAATACAGAAAATTGTTATGCTAAATACATATTTACATGAAAAAGAGTACCTAGTTTTGTATGAGGAATTGTTCTGTAACTCTCTACAATAAGGATGAATAATTGTTAGCTTTAGATAAAGAATCTTTTCAAGAGATAACCATCCTTAACTTTAACGTAGATTTACATAATAATATGGTTGTTATCCAGAATCAAATTAAGTAAATTTGCAAACTTACTTTATATGTTGCAAACTATCCTAGTAAATATAAATGCAAGGTAAATTTGAAATAAAAACAAAGTCTTGAAAATATGGGTTTAAAACAAGTTTGCTTGAATAGCTGTGAATATTTGAGAAACTTACTGAAATATTCTTATTAGTGTTTTGATTTTACTTATAAGTTGTATAAAACATTGAGTTAACAGGAGACATATATTTAATAAAATCAATTAATGTTTCTTCATTATTATATATTTTAAAATGTAGAGTTCACTTAAAGAAATACATGGAATTATGATGCCTAGAGGCATCATAGTTCAACATGAGTTCAAACTAGTCACATTTCAGCTCTAAAAAGCTTACTCATCCCTTGGTTTGGGATTTTCCCTTTAGTAGTAAATAGGAGGTGCAAAAACTTCTTGCTAGAAAAATGTATGCTTGACTTCCATAAAAGGAGTCAAGTAATAATATGGTGTCATATCCTTAAGAAATTTCACAAGAAGAAGAAAAAAGAGAATAAGTTAGGAAGGAAGGAAGGAAAGAAGGAAGGAAGGAAGGAAGGAAGGAAGGAAGGAAGGAGGGAGGGAGGGAGGGAGGGAGGGAGGGAACGAAGGAGGGAAGGAAGGAGGGAGGGAGGGAGGCAAGGAGGGAGGGAGGGAAGGAAAGAATTATGTTTTTGATGACCTTAGAAATAACTTTGTTACTCCAAAGGTACAGTATTGAAGGAAGATCTATTGAGAACATTGAACATGGAGAAAGGCCTGAGAAAAGTTGTCCATAGTTGTGATTACATCATTGGAGCATAGTTCTCAAAAATGTAGCACACCCCCAGAAGCAACTTCTACCACCACACTAACTCTAAATTCTTTGGAATTCCATGTTTGAAAACATGAACAGAACTAGGCCTTTTTCAGAGCTTTGGGCACATACAGACACTGGCAGGTGTCTGAATGATGAAAGAATATGTATTACAAATCACACAAGCTAGGCTTAAAAAGCCAAATAAGCCAGTTGCCATTGGTTCATTGCCTGTAATCCTAGGTATTCAGGAAGCTGAGTCCAGAGGATGGCTATTCAAAGCCAACCTGGGCAGGAAAGTCCATTAGACATTTACCTTCAACTAACCACCAGAAATCTGGAAGTTGTGCTTTGGCTAAAAGTGGTAGAGCAACAGTAGTCCTGAGCAAAAAGAGCTCAGGGACAGTGCCTAGACCCTGAGTTCAAGGTCCATGGCAGGGAAAAAAAAAAAAAAAAACAAAACAACAAATAAAAACCCCTGAGGAATCTACTTCTTTGGTATTCTAGAAAAAGCAAAACACGCTATTCAGAATGGGAGATAATTTGGTTACCAAGGAGCATGGAGAAATTTACTATGCCAGTTTTCTTATTATTTTGATTGTGACTAGCTGTGTTAAAATTTTCTCAAGTATAAACTTCACAGGATATCTTTTTTTTTTTTTTTTTTGTTGGTCGTGGGGCTTGAACTCTGGGCCTGGGCGCTGTCCCTCAGCTCTTCAGCTCAAGGCGAGCGCTCTTGAGCGCACTTGAGCTACAGCGCCACTTCCGGTTTTCTGGTGGTTTATTGGAGATAGGAGTCTCAGGGTCTCTCCTGCCCGGACTGGCTTTGAACCGCGATCCTCAGATCTCAGCCTCCTGAGTAGCTAGGATTACAGGCGTGAGCCACCAGCGCCCGGCTTTCACAGGATATCTTTTAGCCTCAACAATTTAATTTTAAATTATATCTGAATGAAAACTAGTGAAAAAATCTAGGCTAAAAACTATAAAAAGGGAGGGGGAAAGTAAATACTGATATGATCAATTACTATTTTTTCATCTTAAACATAAAGAGTCTAAGTATAAAGGAATAAAAATCAGTCATTATGACCAAGTGGGGATTATTTTGTAAACACAAAAATAGTTTCAGTCATGGGAAATTTATTAGTCCAATTCATCATGTTGCAAAAAAGAAAAACAAAATCCTTTATCCATATATGATAAAATTATAACTGAATTCTGAATGATCTCTAAGAAAGTGAAACTTCCAAACACAAATATATTTGGAAAACCAAATCATAATCTATAATGTGGAGTTATGCTTAAAGAAGAATATCTACAATTAATCCCACTATATTCAGGTAAAAAGTCATGAAAAGCAGTACTAGTGTTAACATGATATTAAAAGTGCTAGCTAGTTGACATAGACAAATGAAAACAATAAAAATAAAAAATAGAAACGATGTGTCAAAATTACCAATATAGCTAACCTCATAACTATCACATAGCTATAAAATAAGATAATTAAATTAACAAACTATTACAAAAGAAAATTAATTCAGCAAAATGAATAAGTCTGAATTTTAGACAAAAAGTAATTTTGCCCCTGCAGATAATAGCAACTGGGAATACAAAACAGAAAAAGAATAAATGTACATTCTAATAAAAGTAAGTATAAGAAACATGAGAATAAATGTAATGCATAAAAGAATAAAAGAGATGCACAAAATATTTGAAAACATATTAGAATATTGGTGAAATAATATCAACAAAAGAAAATGAATGTAGACATCATCAGACAAAAGCCTCTACATCCCAAATATTTTTCTTCTGCCTACATTAATCTATAAATATACTGCAATGCTATTATTTAAATAATTCAAGATTATTTTAAAAGTTACATTCTTAGAGGGGAACCACTCTAGATATCCTGAACAAGTACCTGACAGTTAATAATTCCAACAAATATTTCAATTATAGTTTTATTTCAATAATTACTTTGTACTGACTTTAACTGACTAAGTGACCAAAAATAGGATGTAATTTATACAATTTGGAGAAAAAGAGAATTTATAAAATATTCTGTCTCAATACAAAAAAAAACTTTCAAAAATACTGAAAATAATTGTTCTAATAAGTAAAGTACAAAAGTTTTAGACATAAGCCTAAAAGAAAATTACTGTTAAGACTCAAGAAAGCAGAAAAAATTCAGAGTCTGACATAAATCATACAAGAGATAAAGAATAAAATGTTTACTAGATCTATAACAAAAAACAGAAAAAGTATGGAAAGTCAAGTAACAATTAACAAAGTAGATATCATAGTTATATTAAAAATCAAATTAATTTATATATGCTTTTAATGACTGAAAACAGTCTAATGAATAATGGAAAAGATTTTTAAAAAGATAATTTAATGGAAGTAAAATATGAATATTTTTTCCAGTTCTGAGGACTATATACAGAGCCTTGTACATCTAAGTAACATATTAACAGTGAGGTACATTCCAGGTTTTCATTGACCATTTAATTTTAAAAAGTGTTCTATTACTCTAAGTGTCTCTCTAAGATAATTAAAATTATTGATCTGAGCCTGGTTTAGTGGCTCATACTTGGAATCTTAGCTACTTGAGAGGCTGAGTTCTGAGGATCACTGTTTGAAGCCAGCTAGGCAGAAAGTATATAAAACTATTATCTCCAATGAACTACCAAATGAAACTGTTAGTGGAGCTGTGGCTCAAGTGATATTATGGAGGTGCTTAAAATCTCAGGCCTTGAGTTAAAGCCCCAGAACTGGCCCCAAGAAAAAAGAAATATATAATTATCTTTTTGTACAGTGCTAAGGACCAAAGACTAAGCCCTAGACAATATTCTATCACTAAAGATACACTCTCAGCCTCAAAACTAATCATGTTAAAGAATATGAATTCCAAGCAGTAACACAAGAAATTTTCACATGCAGCTTCTTAGAAACTCTCATAAATAAAACACAAATTGTTTGGGCATGGCATATATGCTGAGCAAGGTAATTCAGCATGACAAATACTGTAAAACATGCTTTTTCTCTTCAAGAGAGATTATATTTTGACTACAGTAATATTTAAAAGCTCATTCACAGCTCCCACTTTCATGCTCTATTTGAGAAAGTGTTGAACCAAAATTACAGATTTTTTTTCTGTTTCAACTGATGTGGACAGAAATTCTGCTACTGAAGATCACATCCCATTTAATACTGTGTCTGCTCCAGATCCAAGAAAACAAAAAACAATCTCGTCTTGTTATCCTCATGTTTTAAATAAAATATTTTTTTCTCATGCATGAAACATGTTAAAAATGTGTGTGAAGA